GAAACGGGCTCAGGTTTTCTGTAACAAGAACTTGAGAAGGGGTAAGTTAAAAGTATTTGTAGGCACTGTGTATGATACTCATGAATTTCAGGTAGCTCTTACCTTTCTGGAGTGGCAACAGATTGCTGGAAATAATCCTCTGCCATATGCAAGAGCTCTGAGTACTTAGCAGACCCTTCCATTTCTCCCTGTCACAAGGATGAGCACACACACACACAAAATTACACGGGCCCAAAAGGATTTCTGGTGTTATGTATGGATCATTAGGAACAGTGAATTCTAGAGGCACGCAAATGAAAGGTAAAGCAGTGAAATCAGACTTCACACAACCATATTGTGATTTCCTTCATTCAAGGGTATCTCTCCCCTTTATTCAGATGAATGAATTCGTCCACAAATCCTGCCTTTTCCTTATTCATTTCCAAAATAAATTAATTTCCAAAGGGGAACAAACTGCATGTAACACCTTTAAAGACATTAATTCATTTTACATAGAAAGAAGCATTAGATTTCCTGCCCTGCTGCAACTACTTACACAAGTTCAAGAGCTAAAACATTTTTATTGGAATGTTTATAAGACACAGACACACAACTTCACCTTGAAATAATCCTTTTCCTTCAGGCTCCTGAGGAATCTCTCCCACAGGGGACCACTGAGCACACTTCTCTTGGAATCAGGAGATACTTTGCTGCTCTTGGAGCACAAAATTTCAAAGCCATGAGCCTGTATAAGAGATGCGAAAACGAGGAGATTCTCAAGGTGTAGCAAACTTTGCTCACAGTTTTCTGGACGAGCAGGCAACTTAAAAAGCAGAGAGTCATCCCCTGGACATACACAAACAGGCAAACTAAGCCCAGAATGCATAAGAAATCCTCACCAGCTTCATGCCCAGCTCGTGGGCTCTGTACTCAGGGTGAGCTGGGGCGGGCAGCGCGTACCCACTGCGTCTGTCCGGGACAAACTTCTGCTGTGCCAGCTGGGCGTACAGACACCGTGTGAAGGTGACCTGCAACAGCCAGAGCACAGCAAAACCACTCACTGCAGCGTCACTGCGTGGGGCACAGGCAGCAGCTTTCCACCAGGCTCATCTAAATCGTGCTTTAAGGCACCAGCATTACACACAACACCTGAGACCGCATTCAAACACAGCCTGGGGACGTTTTTCTGAGATGTGTTGCTTTTCAGGTCTTAAAAAGTATATTCCAAGTTGGCATCTCTAAACAGACATGAGCTTCCATCAGTCTAAATGCATTAGAAAAGACCCTAAGTATTCAGTATTCACACCAACAAGGTGCATTTTGAGAAACTGCAAGGGCTTTTTTCTGTTAATGAAACCAAAGCTGAGATTTCAGGAACAGTGTAGAAATCTAAAATTTGACTGCAAAGCTTCTTTTCAGGAGTCTAGGGGTATAACAATGTCAGAAAATGTATCAGATACGACACAATGCTCATGAAACACTTCATAAAGCGTGTGAGCACAGCTGACGAGCTGAGAAGCCTTGGCATGAACAGCTGGGGGTAGTTAGCAGCAACTCCTTCTGCTGGCTGGCAGTGCTGTCAAACTGCTCTGATTACAGAAGGGGATCAGTTTATTCAGCAAGCATTTCAGCAGAGGGACTATTAGCACCACCTCCCACTCCAGAAACATTTACCTCCTGCTTAGCCCTTTGAAACCCCAGCATGTCAGTGTGAAGGCACACAAGCTATTAATGGAACGAACTGGAAGTCATTAAAAGTTCGTTTAAAAAAAAAAATAAGCCAGAAAACATCCCGTTGTAAAAATTAAACGCCCACATTTACACCACGGCCCACAGAGCCCCTGCCAGCCACAGAGGTGAGCTGCCAGGCTGATCTGGGTCACTGACCACGGTCATCACACGCTGGTCCGCAGGGAAGGTGTGGAAAGGCCGACGACAGGCCCGTAGATCCGCCGGGTCCCGCAGGTAGAAGGCCTGGACCGCGGCGGCCACCAGGGACGGGCGCTGGCGCAGCACCGCCGCCACGCCCGCGGGCACGAAACACCGGGCTCGGTGCAGGCAGGCCTGGAGCTTCTCGGGATACCTTGTGTCACACAACAGCCACAGAGTCAGCCTACTGCCAGCCCACACCACGCCTCTGTCTCTGTCAGCCCCCAGTATTAACCCGTGTTATTCTGCAGTTCAAACTCGCCTGGAATGGCTGCTCCTGTAACAGATGTAACACCCCACACACATACACGTTAATGCCCACACTGGTGAGTCACTGTGAACTGAACTAACTATTCAGCTATACACTGGCCTTCACCACACCCAGCGTGGAAGTCATCTGGCTCACACTGTTGCAAAAAACAATGGGTAGTGCCGTGATGCTCTGAAAAATATGCTGGTTCTACATTTTAGTTCAAATCCTCTTTTTCCTCCTGCAGAGGGGTCCCAAAGGCTCACAGAACTCTGAGATTTTTCAGTACAGGAAGGATGGGAAGGAAGAATAACTTGTCATTGCCAGGTGTGGAGTCATGAACCAGTTTCAGAGCCCCCAGATCACAGTCTACAGGACACTGATCCCCCTCTTCCCAAGAATGCCACAGGAAAACCTCTAGCTGGTGGTTTCTGGAAAGGAATCGACTTTATCACATCTATCAGGGAAATCTTTAAACCCCAGACAGCCCAGAATCAAGACTTACTGTGGCAGAGGACCAAAACAAAACACCCACATACCCATCAATGCGTTTATACACGGCAGCTCTGATGGGCTCTGCAGCCAGGAACTCCTCAGAACGGGTGGATAACAGTGCCAGTGCCTCTGAGACTGTTGGACAGGGAGCAGGCAGGTCCCATTCCTGCTCCCCACTCTCTGCCAGTGGAATGATGTGCAGCTCTCCTTTGTAAAAGAACACCTGGCAGAGGGGAACGTTCCCATCAGAACAGGCACACACTGAGCTATGGGAAACTTAATTTCATGTACAAAATGCATTTGTTTGAACACAGGGAATACTGCAGTACAAATAAATAATATGGGAAGCAGTATAATCTAAAAATGGCATTTGAGGTGCCAGCAACCACGAGCCAAACAGTGAATAAAAACCCCTGTTTTAACTTCAACCAGTTTGGTCAAATGTATCTTGTTTCCTTAATAACAGTAATACCAAGAGTTTCCCTTCAACCAGAGATTTGCTTCAGGAGAATCAGCACAACCTAATTGCTGAAAAATTCCCTACACACTCACTCTACACAACATTCTGCAAGAGCACAGGGATCCAAATCAAGTGTGAGGAGTTCCCAGTCCTTGAGTCTCTCATTCAACAACCACAGCGAGCACAAAGCAGCTCATTAAAACCAGAATGAAAAGAGACTGTACTAAAAAAACCCCAAGCTGTTGATTAAAACAAGTCTTGAGCCCTGAGTAGAAGTTTATTCACTGGTAAGGGACAGACAGCACTCTGGATTTTCAGAGGCAGTCAGACCACTCGGCTAGAGGTGCAAGAGAAGATTCCAGCTGCTACATAAAAGGCCACCATGAGCCACTTGCCAAATGTACAGAAGTTTTACTCACCCTGTTTTCACTGTTCTCAGGATTCAGCCACTTTGGGAGAAAATCAGCTGCTTCTATCAGGAGAAACTCTCCATCGTTGTCATCGATCCTGGCCAGGGAGAAATCGGTTTCTTAAAAGAGAAAGCCTTGCAGAGCACAGTAACATGCTCCTAAATCCATGTCTGCTGGGTTTCTTTTTAACACTCATAGAATCATAGAATGGCTTAGGTTGGAAGGGACCTTAAAGATCAACTGGTTCCAACACCCTGCCATGGGCAGGGAAACCTTCCACTAGACCAGTATAATCAGAGTCCCCAAGCAGCCTGGCCTTGAACACGGGCAATGTTAAGACAGGACCTTCAAAGCGAAGGCACTACCCCTTCACACCCCTCCTGAAATTCTGGGCACCTCGGCAGGACCTGCCCTACCTGGCTGCCAGCCCCGGGAAGTCCCTGGTGATCTCCCGGACCAGGTAGACGATGAACCACTCGTCCTCCACGTTGTCCCCGAACAGGGTGGTGCCGCCGATGTGCTCCGGGATCTCACCTGCACGGGGGGCAGAGACAGGAGAGGAGGCTCAGCAACCCCATACCCAGGAACTGCCCACAGACGGTGTGTGTCCCTCA